TTTATGCAAGTCACACTGTGTGAAGTATAAGATGTGGGGATGATGCACTCCTGGCTATGGATGCATCCCTGAGTTCCTAACCCAAATCCTAGCCTTCACCTGGCATTTTTAACAATATCCAGATGGTAGGCTCAGGGCTTTGACTCAAGCAAATGCATCATGAAAAAAATCAAGTGTGGGAAAGCTTAGATGAAGGCCAGTTAATTAACCCTTTGAAGCCTGTGATGTATTGAACAGTAGTTTGTCATTTGTCTTAATCATTATTGCATGACTGGCTTTTAATACCATTTAGCACCAGTTCTGATTTTTTTAAGAGATGGCATCACACGTGGTTTTGCTCCTTGCTTTTTGTTGGTAAATTACCTGTGCAGAATCTTTACAGGTGGCATTTCAGGGTTTCTTCAAGAGGAAGAAATTACTTTACAGCTGTTAGGTGTATTAAGCAAAAATTAAGACATTTCACTGCATTATACAGCCTGTCTCCTAACAAAAAAGGGGGATCAGAATTTTTTTTCCATATTGTATTTGAAAAGAAAACTCTTCTTAGCCTTTAAAGAACTTCTTATTGACCTTTCTTCCCCTGAGCATTTTCCAGGTCTCTGGCTGCTGCCCAAACACTCTCCTCCCAGTGTTACATCCGGTCACAGATCCCTCTCATGCACCCTGTGCCTGCCTGTTCCCTCTTGAAATACTTTTGGCAACTGTCCATGCCCTCACCATGCAGCCCTGGGATCTCATGGTTCCTCTCTGGTCTCAGGCCCTTCAGCAATACTGAAACCCATCAGGGAAGCTCCACCAGGAACTGCAGGACAAATGGCAAGTAGCTCCATCTGAAAACAAAGAAACAATGCCAGCAGCAGAAATCAGCTCCTGTGCAAGTAGAAACTGTTTTGTGTCATGGACTGGCTGGAAAATGGAAGTTGTGAAGGGAGCAGGGAAAAGGTGAGTCACCCTTCCTGAGCTGGTGAAGAGGGAAAGATGAATTGTCCTTCCTGGTTTTAATGTTGGTTGTTTGGATTGTTTGGTTTTTGTTTTTGTTTTTTTTTTTCTCCCCAGTTTGCTGCTTTCCTGCTCTCTGGAGTAGGATGGAAAACTTCTTGATAAGAATTAAAAAATAAATCTGTGTTGGGTTCATACTCAGGAAACTGCTTTAAAACCACAGAAAAGTTGGTAAATCACTGAGGAATAAGCTATGTCCTTTTATCAAGAGTGTGAAAGAGCAGGGAAGTGTCTTGGTGTCCTTGGAAAAACAGCAAGCATGGTGGTAACTCCCACTGCAGCAGTCCCTGCAAAACAGAGGAGGGATGGGAGGCCCAGGGCCTGGAATTGCTAACAGGGCTGGGCAGGGAGGCTGCTTGACAGCTCCAGGCAAGAGTAGATGATTGTATGGCTCACCTCAGTGGAGGGGTGGCTGGGAAGGTTAATGCACAACTATGGATTCTGGTTATGTCCCTGTAATTGTCAATGCACACCAGAGTGCATCCAGCAAAGTTTCTACAAAAGAATCTTGAGCAACCAGAGTGGGCTCTGGGAAAAATAACTTGAAGGATGTTTCAGATTTGTGAGGAACCTGAAGCAAAGTTCTGAGGATTTTTCTTTTACCTGCTATCCAGAGAGAAGCTATGTTATTTTTAGAAATCAGTGCCAAGACTGTGACATCTATCACATGCTCAGGAAGAGGGAAACTAAGTTTGAGGGTGCTCTCGTGGCTGAAATCCATGAGGAGAGATGTTTTAGGGATTAATATCACTCCATGTGGCAGGGGCTCTCCTGCAGAATTTCCAGGAAAGAGGTAACAAACTTCCTTCCCTTGAGCTGGCTGCTTCCTGCAGACTGCCTTTGAACCAGGCAGGAGTTTTGACACCAAAACACTTAAGTGCTGTTGGGTGAGTGTCCAGCAAGCCTTTGATTAGAGCAGTGCTCATTAGACTGACTTGTTTCAGCAGCTGTCCAACACAGGAGAAAAGGGAAATCATTAGAAGTAAACTCTGTGTTTCTATTTCAAATATTATGACCCATCATTGCTCTGACAGTCTCTGAACAATGGCATAAATGGGCTGAGTAATGTGACCCAGCGTCCGGAAAAGCCTTATTCCAGAAAACAAGGAGGGTAAATCACATGATGCCCCATGAGATGGGGTGTTTTGACAAATTACTGCTTCAGGGGAAGTGAGAACAATTTCAGTAACTGGAATGTTGCTCCATCAGTTTCAGACCCTCGGGATTCCCCATTGCCCTTTCTTCCCCACCTCCCACCTTGCTGTTTTCATTTTTAATTGGTGATGTCTGCCAAAGGCTGGTGCTTACCTCTATTTGCTGCCAGAAAAGCCTATTTTTTATCTTTTTAAGGAGCTTAGAAAACACTCAAAGGAAAATGGGAAGGTTTCAATGCCTCATTTTACTACCAGCAGACAATCCTGTAGAATCGAATGCAGGCATCAAGGGGCACTTAGTAAGACATCACCACAACACCCTTTCAGTCTCTGTTGAATTCACCTTGATGCACAATTCTCTGTTTTGTGCCATGTGAGACACAAGACCAAAACACCAGCAAACTCAACTAGGACAATGGTTTTTTTTGGCATAGCAATGCAGTACAGAGTCTTTCATGGCCATTTTGGACACTAGCCTCTAGGACTTGTGTCCAAAATGGCTAACAGATGTGTTGGAGCCTTGGGTGCTAGAGATAAAAAATGACCACCTGCAACAAGCTGGAGGTAGATCAACCAGCTTATGTCACCTGCAAAGATTTGAAGACGTGATTTTGTCCTCCTCACCATGCACAGAGGTCATGGAATTAATTATATGGTTCAGTGCTATTTAAATACTCTCATAACTGTGACTGCTTAGGCCACATTGTCACTGCAGCACTGTTTTATAGCACGTAGTAGTTCTACATCAATGCAGCTAAAACAGTTGGAAGGATTCTTTTATTGAGACTTTCCTATAAATGTCTGATTCTGTTTCTTCGTGACTGTTTGAGCTCTCTATTCCAGCTGCTGCCTTCTATGAAGTGCAGCTAATAACAGCACCAGCAGCAGCTGGACAATTTATTCCTTAAAAACTGTAAAATGCTCTGGTATGAACAGAGGGGGGTTTTGCTGTATATTTCTCCTTGGTGTTTCTAGGCTGACTATTCTGTTCCTTGAAAGCAGCTGATTTCTGAATAGAAACAGAAATGGAAAATAGAAATAAAAATGTTGTATCCTATCCCTCCCCTTCCCCCATTCATCTCATAATGAAGCAGGGATTACTATAAAATATTTTAATTTTAACTCTGGATCACAGAATCTTGGATACACATTTTATAGGTTTTTCCAATGGTAGTTTGAGCAGGATTGGACAAAGACCATCACTACCACACAGTACAACCTGGTCCTGTTGTGAGCTGCACAGGTGTTTTCACTTGCCCTGAACACAGCTGAGTGTGGAGGGACCTTTGGTCACCAACCTGCCTGTGCCCAGAGGTGCCCATGGTCCCCAGCCAATGCATGTGGAGTGGTCTCATGCAGTTTCAAAAGTCTGAGAGACAGGGTTTGTCTTGGCTGCTCTGGCCACCATGAGGATATTTAGAGGTTGACTGGCTATGGTGACATATTTCCAAGCATCTTAAAGTCAGGTCTGATTTCTTTATATTTAAACATAATCCAAGGAAAATGAGGGACCATGTCCATGAAATAATTCTTTGATAAAAATGATGAATGGAGAAAGAAAGAACCATTGCAAGAAATGCATAAATTAATATACACACATCCTCAAACTGCATTACACCATCAAATCCCAGCTTGCTTCCATGGCTTGAAGATTATTATACCTGGAGATGATGCAGTAAAACAAATTACTTGCTTGCCCATTTGATGTCCTGAGCTTACACTGCTCCCATCCAGCCATTCCTTTCAGTACTTTCCTGCATTCCCAGCCAATGAACATGTGATCCATGCTGAGACAGGAGCAGCATGGGGCACATCCAGGCTCCCCCCATGTGAAGATCATCCCATCTGGATAAATGTATCTGGGCTGAGAGCTGCAGAATGAAGAAAACTTCTGTTCCTTGCACACCTCTCTGTTAAAATTCTTAGATGTTAAAAAGCATCCTCGCTGAACCTCTGGACACACAAGGACAGTGGATGAGTGGAACGTGGTGACAGTGGGACAAGCTGCAGCCAGAGATGAGAGTCCAAGAGAGGTGGCCAAAACTGCTCCTTGATGGGAGTTTTGCTCAGAGATCCTCCTGGTGGGTTTTGGTGGTGTGGAGCTGAGTGTTTCACATGTCAGGACCCAGGACATCCCTCTGGCTGTCCTGAGCAGCCAAGACCCCTGCCAGGGGTCTCAGAGACCCTGGCACAGAGCCCAAAATCCCTGTGGTTTTGATTATGACCTGTGGAGCAAGTTACCAACCTTAGATGAAGATCTGCAAGCCATGACAAATTAAGTAGAATGATAGTGAATTTATCACAAGGCGAAAAAGTAGACTTTGGGGTTTTAGAACGGGGATTCAGGGGGGCAAGGCGGAGGAATCTGGGTGTGTCCAGCCTTTCTTCTTCTTCTTCTTGGCCTCCATCTTCTGCTGTGATGTTGGCACTTTTAGATTGGTTTAGAGTAGAAGCTCACTGTCTAACATAGGTGATGGGTATTGGACAGTAATTGTAAATATTGTACACGTCGTTTTTAGTATCAAAGATAACACTGCCCTGGGGGCAGGCAGAGCGCCTGGACTGTCTTGCTGGATGGACCTCGGCAGGTCAGGAGAAAGAATTTTATAGATAAGATACAATAAACAACCTTGAGACCAGGAAATGAAGAGCTCTGACTCCTTCTTCAAGCGCCGGGCTGGGAAAAGAGAATTTCCAGCGTATCTCGGGGTCACTCTGACCAGCGAGAGATCCCGACATCACCGAGTGTCCCAGCTGCAGCTCTGCTCCTTGTAGGGGTGCCTGGAGGCTGGAATCCCCTGTGACAAACCTGCTGGCAGCCGTGAGAGGGAGGGGTCCATGTGAGGGTCAGGTTTGCTCTGGAGCTCGCCTGGGCTGCTCCTGGGACAGGGAGCTGTGCCCTGAGCCCCGCAGCAGCATTCCCAGGATGGCCAGCACTTCCTGCAGGCCCTGGCCAGTGTGGGCACTGCAGCCCCGGAGCATCCAGCGGTGCCTGGCCAGCCCCCCGAGCCGCAGCATCTCCCCCAGCTGGGCAGGAGCCAGCGCTCCCGGCACGTCCTGCTTGTTGGCCAGGAGCAGCACAGGGATGCCAGCCATGCCGGGGTGGCTCAGGGCCTCCTCCAGGGCCGCCATTGCTTCAGCCAGCCGGGCCGTGTCTGTGCTGTCAAGCACGAAGATGAGGGTGTTGATGTCCTCCAGGTAGTTCGGCCAGCTGGCCCGCAGGCTGTCTTGTCCCCCAACATCCCAGAGGGTGAAGGAAATGCCACAGGGAGTTCTCAGAGACTCCACGTTGAATCCCACCGTGGGGCAGGTCTCCACAGCCTGGCCGCTCTTCAGTTTGTACAGAAGGGTGGATTTGCCAGCGAAGTCGAGCCCCAGCATGATAACTCGAGCATCTCTTTTCCTCCAGCCTTTGGAGATCAGCTTCCCCATCAAGATACTGCCAGTGCGGGGGGAAATGCAGCCAAAAAAAAAATAGCAAGCAATCGTATTTCCTCGGTGATGTCAGTCATTAGCAGAGGGCTCAGCCCTGTGTCTCCGAAAGAGCACCGCAGGTTTGCTGAAGAAAGGTGCGGGCAGCGGCTTTTGCTTCTCTCTGAAGCTCAGATGAGGCGAGAGCGAGTGTTTATGAGGTGTGCAGCAGAGCCAGGGAGTGATGTTCACATCAGCAGTTCCTACACCCCGGCTCTGCTGCTGCTGCTCACTCCTTTTCATTCAGGACCCGAAGCGATTGGTGCGAAAGTGAGCTAACATTTTGCAGGAAGAGGTGGGGAGACCGTGCAGTAAGTTTCCTCCTCACCACATACATAAATAAATGAGCTTCTGTTCATTGGCTTGTCTAGGAGAAATCCACCCCCGACAGGACAGGACAAGGAGGAACCCGGGCTTCAGACCAGGGTTACTCCAGGAATTTGCTGAATCACAGCTCAAGGGTGGGGATTTAAAGCCTCTTGAGCAACAAGACGATTTTTCTGCCAGTCTTATGTTAAAAAGTACAAAACAAATCACTGTATCATCAGCTTTTACTACCTTTTGTGCCAATGGTAACAACAGCAATTTTAAAAAATGCACACAAGCATGTTTTTTTGAAGTCTTACGGAAATACAATGAGTCAAAATGCCATTCCTGGTGCAAAAATCCATAATATTCTTTACATCAAAGTATTTACAACATTTCAACTTTTTCAAATGAAGCAAAGTCATGTGGCTGAGGGGGTACAAAAATCCCCTAAAAGAACAGAAAACTGTTTAACAAGACAGCACCCCTTGCACTTCACAAACCAGAGACAAAAATGCGCTGCTGCAACAACTCCCAGCCTCGCTTGTGCAAGAGCAGCTGAAGGCAGCCATCAGAGTCACAGCAAAGCCAGTATTTATTTCCCTTCTTTATTGGCTGGGTTTGGCTCCTAAGAGGCTGCTCAGAGGTGTGCAGAGCTCACCTCACAGCAGTAAGGCAGAGCTGCTCTGTAGCCACCTTTATTTGAGAAAGAAATGGGATTCAGCCCTGCTTCCCTGGGCCCACAGGGGAATTTTTAACACATCTGTGGGAGATGCAGTTTCCTCAGCAATAATCTCCTCATGACAGCTCCACGTCACAAGCATTGCTGGGGATGGAGTTCAGCACAGCATGTGGAAGGGACTGTCTGGTCAGCTGGTCACTGAGAGGCATATTTCTTCCTCTGGGGGCAAGATACTTCAGTTTTCCATCTTTTACAGAAAGGAAGATGCATGAGAAAAAAAAAAGAACACAAGGAGTTCAGCCCACTTAGGCTGCATGGGATTGCAAAGGGTGCAAAACAGACCACGTCCTGCAAGATAACTCTGTGATAAATCTCTCTCCCATTGTTAACCTACAGAGCTGGATGGCACCAGAGCCTCCACAGGATTTATGCAACTTGTGGATGTGTAAGATGGGTTTTAACAACTGTGCAATACCAGGTTGGAAGGACCTCAAGGATTATCTGGTCCAACCAACCTTTCAAGGCAAAAGCATGGTCTAAAAGAAGCTCAGCACCCTCTCCAGCCAAATCTTGTGTCCCCAAGTGCTGGGGAACACACCACTTCCCTGGGGAGATTATTCCAATGGTGGATTGTTCTCATTGTGAAAAGTTATTCTCTTGTGTGCAATCAGAATCTCCCCAGGAGGAAATTGTACCCATAAGTGCTCATTTTTTTCCATAGACAACTTGTAAAAAAGGGATTCTCTATCTTCTTTGTAACCACCCTGTGAATATTGGAACACAGTGATCAGGACTTTCATAAGCCTTCTTTCTCAAGATTCAACAATAAAATTGTGCAGTGTATGTTCACACATGATCTTTTCTAAAACCAGTCTGTAAGTGCAAAACTGGCAGAAAGCTCCCTGGATGTGGATAAGAAAAGAGAACTGTAATGCACAGTGGATTCTGGCCCTTCAGGGCATTGTTTGCACACCCTGAAGTGTGTATTGCTGCCTGAGGGTTATCCTCTTGTCCATGTTCTTCAGTTTTTAAAATAAATCCTTGATCTGCTTGTTCACTATTTTGGAATAACCTTCCAATATTTCATTATCCTTTAAGATCAGTATAGTTGATATTTTTAGACATAACAGTGGGTCAAATGGATTGTGTCTTGATCTTTTCATGTTTCTCCTGCCTTTGCTGCTGCTCATCCTCTCTGAGACTTGGCAGGCAGTGGTGGCACACATCTGACCAGACATTCGTAGTACCATAATTTTTTTCAAGTAAATTAAAATGCAGGTACGGGAAGCAGGGGTGGAGATTCTACCATTCAGTGAATAATTGAGCATTTGAAATATGATGTGATGGAGTCTTTGATTGGATCACTCCCTCACATGCTACAGAAGAAGGCTGCTTCCAAAACCCCCCCCCCCAAAAAAAAATAAAACCCAAACAAACAAAACAAAACAAACAAACAAACAAAAACAACAAAAAAAAAAAAAAAAAAGGAAAAGGGAAAGAGGAAAAAGGGAAATTAAAAAGAAGAAATAAAGCCAGAATAAAGGATGCAACTAAGCACAGTTTTACTGATGATTCAGTAAAATTCTGAAAACTCTTCAGGTTTTCTAAGGCACAGAATACAGTAATTCATGGGCAAATAGAGGAAACTCTATGTTCATTTTCTTTTTTTTACATGCTTATACCCTATGTATTGAACCTATTTTCTTTCTTCCTGACAATTATTCCAAATACAGGGTGCAAACTGTGCCTACAGAGCCTGTTCCGCCCACAGCTATGTTACAAAAGCATAGCATTTCCAATAAATAATACATAGGAGCAATTACAAGTCTGTTTAGGAAAGAATGAAAGAAAAGAAAGTAAAAGCATACAAGATGAGTTCTGAGTGCATCTATTGCTGGAACAGAAAGGCCAGGTACTAAATAATTCAGACATTGTGTTTAGAGACAAGGACAGCCCCTATTCAAGCTGTGTCTTCTGTGGACAGAATAAATGTTCTTTTCTTATGTGTCATGTCCCTGAATTCTCAGAAGCAATGCTAATTCCATTTATAGTTTCACAGAATTTCAGTCAATTTATTTGTTTGCTGGTTTTTAGGCATGCATTTCTCCACTTCCTAGATATTCATCCCCCAAAAAAGCAATAATCAGTACTAGCAATACAGGAGAGAATATGCCCTCCTTCCCATGCCCCAAAGATTCCAATTACAGGGATTTTGTCCTGATCACTATATTAACTCACATTTGTTCCAACCTGTGCCACCTCTTTGGAAGGCAGCTCCAGGGAGACAACCCTTCACAGAGACAGGAACAGCAGCTGTAGTTCTGGTCCTTGTTGTGAGTGTGCATCCAGATGGCATCTGCTTGGAACAACAATCACATCTCAGTCCAGCAAAGGCAGAGTGTGCTTCCCCATCCAATTGTGCTTGTGTCCCTGGGAAAGGCCACCAAAACCACCGCGCACCCAGCCCTGCCTGTGTTTCCTGCAGGATCTCCTCATTAGATCATACATGGCAAGACTACCAAGGAGGGCAAGTTCAGAGCAGGAGCTGGTGAGAAAGCCCTCTGGGAGCTGAAGGAAGCCCTGGACACCGGTGGATGACTTGACCTGCAGAGCCCCCTGTCCACTGCTGGCAGTCACCTTGAAGGGGACTTCTCTGTGTTTGGCCTGTGAGAGTTCCTTGTGTACCTGTTGGGATCAGTGGATTTGACCTAGCCAGGGCCCCAGGCTAAAACCACAACAAAGCCAAATGCAATGGTTCAGACTTAGAGAAGTTTGGCCTTTTTCTTCCCTGCATCCTGCTCCATTCCCCTTGCTCTGCCCCCGATTTCTGGGGTGCCCGCAGGAAACTCCCTCCTGCTAACAGACTCGTGCCAGTTCACTTGGCACCTGCCCAGGAAGCTGCCTGTTCCATCAGGGCCAGTGGGTGGCTGTGAGAGCTGGCAGCTGAAGGCAAGCTGCTTCCTCCTGAGACAAATTCCCAGAGGCTTGAAACATGGCTTAGCATAGTCTGAAAGTTACACAAGAGAGCCACAGGCTACGACATGCCCCAGAAAAGCCTGCCTGCAGTGATGTCTCTTGACAAGATGTGATCGCTTGAAGTTGAATCAACACCCTGAAGTTCAGAATGACAAGACTCACACAACAAAAGACACAGCAGATGTTAAGCACTTGTCCTTCAGGTGCCCATCAAGGACTGTGAGAGGTGTTGGTATCTCCAGGGCACTCCTGCTGGGGTTGGAAATAGGACATTGTTGTCCATCTCATCCTGTGGTCCTTGTTTTCTCCTCATTTCCTGGGACAAATATTTGGTGAAGGGAAATGGTTTTTGGTAGCATAACTGGTAGCAGATAGGCTATCAGCTTCATGCTTTCCAAAGTTAACTCCTTCCAGTAGGAAATGACTCTAGCTGGAAAGCACAAAACCTCACCTGCTACACCCTTGCTGATGCCATATCACAGTTCCCAGGAGGTCCTTGTCTCTTGTCAGTCCCCACCTGTCTGGCCTGCTGGGACTCAGCCCTGTGCTGGAGGATGGCAGCCACTAGGACACAAACGTGCCCTCGGGTGTGAGATCCTGCTCAACACAGCTGCCTGATGGCCAGGGCTGGTGGTGCCCCTGCGTGTGCCCCAAGCCTGCCTGCTCCCTGGCTGGGGACAGAGGGACAGGTCCTGACCATCAGACCCTGCCTTAACTCCCTGGCAACAAGGTGAATGTGGAGAATTATGACACAGAGCAAAGAATTTTTTCCCTCATGTTCTCATCCCTTAGCTGGCAGGTGCTGCAACAGCAGGACGACATGGAAAGGAAAATTATTTGCCTTGCTATGATTTCTGTTTGAATTAAGTATTGAATTAAGTCCTTTGTATATGACTGTAAACTATTTTCCACAAATATTATTGCTCTAGTCTCTGAAATTATAATTTCCAAAGCTGTTTGGAATTTTATCAGGATGCAGAATTTTATCAGTCCTCTA